TGTTTGGGCAAGGGGCGCTCCCACGCCCCTTGCTTCTCACCTTTACGCTGCCGCCCACACTGGCCAGGACAGTGCCTGCACACCATGTCCTGTGACACAGGCTCAGAGGCCTCTCAGTTCTATGCATTTCCTGTCATTCTGGCAGCTTCTGTCTTAGGCCCTTTTTCAAATAAGCCCTGTTTGAGCAAGGGGCATTCTCACGCCCCTTGCTCCTTACCTTCATAGTGCCGCCTACAGTGGCCAGGACAGCATCAATGCACAATGTCTCGTGGTGGAGTCCCTCTCAGGCTCAATGGGCTTTCAAAATCAGTTGTATCCCACAATTTCAGAGGCCGTCATTGCCAAACATGCATCCTTATGGCTGGCAAGCAGTTTCAGCGTGTAGCTGATACAGATGCTATGTGTTGCACTGAGATTCAAGGTTAGTGCCCATCTTCTGAGTTTCAAGATGGTGTTCACAGTTTTTTTTAGAGATGTCAACAGAAGATCATGATATGGTGGAGAACATGATGGTAGACCATGGAATGGATTCTGAGGCACTCCCATATATGGCACCCCCTGGAGAGGAAGGCTTGGAGTTTAGTCATACAGGCAGAGAACATGAAGCTTTTGAAGGTCTTGCAAGCCAAATTGCTGAGACCAGTGGCTGGTGAGTTTATTTACCTATCTGCACTTGCTTAGTCTCACCCCACATAATAGTCACTATACAGATCCCCGCACATGCCATGACCATACAGAAAATCAGACGGCTCACTGGGATATTCAAATAGGTCACCTTGTGGATGCTTATCTTGACTATCGCTCTCGCTCTGCTGAGAATGGCATGCCAACCTTCAATGAACCACCCATGGTGCCATCTTCAAGTGATACTCAGTGCCTTTTGCTAAGTAATATCAAACTTGTAGATCTTTTTTGTATGTATGATGAACTTCACCCTGCTATTAATGCTAATTTATCTTCAGACCGAAGCCACTCATTGCCTCAATCTTTGTTGTCTCACAAGTACCCTAACGAGACCCTGATTTACCATGGCTACATTGGGTGTGCACCAATGTATCCCACGGTTGCAATATCCTTACGCACTCTTGCTGCCTACTGTCAAATTCATTGAACATGTCCTTGTTTCAGCATCCAAGCTCAATGCAAAGCTCTGTGTTTTCTCCATGATGTAAGTGCATGGCTCATCTGGTGAACCATCTTACAATGGGCATTTAATTTTTGGCTGCATATGACATATACCTCGAAATCATTCATTCTTTCAATAAGCGTCTCCAGGCAGCCCTGAATCACAACACGCCTAACTGGTGTTTACTCAATTCCTGTCTGGCATGTTTCTATAAGCTCCAGGATGAGCTCACACTTGAGTTTGACTGGCTTGTCTCAATAGATGGCAACAATAGCTTGAAACACTGGGATTCCGCTATATATGGTACAACTGCACACATAGATTCTCGCAAGGCACGTTCCAACTACTGGATTGGACCCATGGCTGTAGACCAATTCAAGGGTGAAGTTAAGTCTTTTCTTCTGATGTTATCACTGCCTGATGATGTCGTACAGGACTCAAGTCTAGATGATTGGGGAGATGAACCCATCAAGACTAACCCAGGCTCACTCACTTGTGTTAGTTGCTGGCGAAATGCTGGACCCGAAACACGCAAGAAGATGTTCTCAGTCTTCCATGAATCAGGCATTTTTATTGCTGCCTGCTGTCATCGTTTCATACACCTGGCCTGCAACATGATCCAAAGCAGAGAACTGTAATTCACTCTTGCTGTCAGTTAATTTGGCACTGACTTGATTTGATAGAGCTAAATATCCCCTCATGCTCATTGATAAGCTTCTTACGGTTTATGGGAAGAATGGAGCTTGCGCTTATGACATCGGCTGCACGTTCTCCAAGACCTTAACAAATAGCTCCTTAGGCCCGCTGTGGTGACAACAGTCCTGCTGAGTGGCAAGGACAAAGTTGGGTCTAGCTAATGTCTAGCTGCTATGTCTATACAGACACGTTCGACCCTAAAGGGATTTGCTACTAGAGAGATGATGGATATGTGTGAACCTGAGAGCGTGCTAAGCATGGGAAAATAGCGGACAAGGTATGCGCGAGGTATAGGAGTGTATCCGAGGTTATCCGAGGTGCAGGAACGTGCGGCTGAAGGTGCAGAAAGTGCGGAAAGAGCGGACAAGGTATAGGGAAGTCAAGGAATGAGGTTTAGAGAGTGAGGGCAAAGGTATATTGTGAGGTAAGGGATCCTAGGTATAGAGAGGTATAAGGGACCTAATAGGGGCTAAAAAGCGCGCACTGCTAGGGACTACTTCGAAGGTAAACCTATAGGGTGAGGTATACAGTACGAGGGAAATGTACAGTCCGAGAGAAGTGTCATAAAGTAGTCCAAAGTATAGGTAACTTATAGTGTCTAAAATCCCACTCGGAGTAGGAAGGGATAGGAAATATAGGAAATATGTAAGAACATGTAATAAGGCTGCAACACATTTTACAAGCCTCAAGGTAAGGAAATTCACATACCAATGGGATTTGGACAGACTATGGATGGATGAGGAACCTTCCTAATGTGTTTCTGAGGTATCTGAAGTGCAGGAATGCACGTCCGATGCGGCTGATGCACAGGAAAGTGCGGATAAGCGGATGCGCAAAGCGTGGGAAAGCGAGTTCAGTTTAGGACAAAGGTTACTTGCAACACAAAGATGGACAATGATACTGATAGTGTCCTATACTCCTTGACACATGTATGAAAATACCCTGTTTCCTGCCCGGTGCGGGTCCGAGTGTCACACCACGAGCATTAGACTTGAATTTTTGGATGATGGTTGGCGCATTTCACAGCCATGCACACAACCGCAAATGCCAGTTGGTCTGGCATCCAATGTATATCTTGGGCACTGGACACAGTGAGGGCGAAGGGTGTGAGTACATATTTTCTGCCTCAAATGAGCTCGCTCGTAGCACTAGACATGCGAGCCCGTTCCACCAGCACCAAACTATTGAAGAACACTTTGCTTTTTGGGACGCTGACACGTATGCTGTGCTTTGTGCATAATTTCTTTAAGGACCTAATATTCAATTATGAAACTGATATTTCGTCAGCCAATTTTTTATCAAATCATTACCAAGAAGCCACCAAACAGATCAGTGTGCTCACAGCTGAACTAGCCATCATTCAATCTGAGCTTGGTCTTACTGATGCCAACTTTCCTCGCTTCCTCAAGGAAGAACATGGTTATCTTGATAGTTTGAAGCAGCCCCCTGAAAAAGATCGCCTCTCTGTTCGGTATGTTGAGGTGCTTGATGAACTTGCTGAATGGAGGTAATGATAACTATTTTGTTGATATGTGGCCCTGACACTAATTTATTAGGGGGCTGATTGGGACTTAGCATGTGAAGCTGCTAATAGTTCCCTCACTGCAATTGCAGCCAGTAACCTGGAGCAGATAAACAACGTACTTTCGCAAGCTCATATTCAGGTCGACTCTTCATATGCTAAATTACAGCATGCCGAGGCATTGGTTGCGCATGTAGAAGCTCTCTTGGCTGTTGATGCACGATAGGAGATTGGTGGCCAGGAGTATAACCATTTTAAGGAGGAAGTATCTCAGCAAGTATCGCAGTGCGCTAGATGACCTGGAGTGTCTGGTTGTTATGAGGTTATTTGAACTTTCGAAGTTGTCATTGTCTGGCACAGGTGTTTGTTTATTGCAAATCACACATTCAGTGAGCTAACATTTTTTAGGGTATAAACTACATCAACAACTTGGCAAAGTGCTACAATGGTGATCAGAAGCTATTCGGAATGCCATTAACTGCTACAATGTCCAAGCTGTCACTTTAAATCCACCATGACAGAAGGTATCTCGGAAAGACGTCGCTGACTACAGTTTCCTTGGCAAATTCGATCTGCTGCGCCATTCTCATACTGATATTCAAAATAGTGACTGGGCAATGCCTGCTCATCAAGAGGCAACCACCAAATATTTCAAGCTTTGTCAAGCTTGCGAAGAAATTACTCAGCTCAACATTGAAGTTCACTGTCTGCATACAGCAATTCATGATGAAGAACTCCATACCTCTACTGTCATACAGGATCTTCATGTTTCAAACCCACAGTTGGGGAATGAGCTTCGACACCAGTGGCGTTCATGTATGGCCATCAATGCTATTCATTCTTTTTGCCTAGATCACATTCCTGGATTTTCAGGAACGAGAGGTGTTGGTGTCCACCTTAATCAGTTCACATTGTCTAGCAATGATAATGCAGATTTAGCCCATCCTACCTGTCCTGGTACGTTTTGTGCAAGTGTTCGTTATTGATGTTTTGAAACTAATTATATTGCAGTGCAATGAGACATCATTGATGATGTGCATGATATCATTGCTTCTGATATGGACCTAGATGCTGAAGAGAATTATTCATTGACGCAGGACATGGCTGACTATCTACAATCCATTAACGATTAACATTTATCTCGTGATCTACAGCACTCTGCTATGTATTTAATGACACTTCTGATAATAATAATCATGCTTCAGAACAGCGAGAGTGGCGGTCTGAAAGCTATCCTGCTTGAACTTTAGAATAGCGAGAGGTGGGCTTACTTACATAGAATTAGCTTTAGAACAGCAAGAGCGGCGGTCTGAAAGCTACCCTGCTTGAACTTTAGAATAGTGAGAGGTGGGCTTACTTACATAGAATCAGCTTTAGAACAGCAAGAGCGGTGGTCTGAAAGTTACCATGCTTGAACTTGAGAATAGCGAGAGTAATGGTCTGAAAGCTACTCCACTTGGACCTGATACTTACATGAGTGTTAATATGTCTAGTAATTGAGGCACCAGGCTTGCTTACATGACCGCTGTTAATACATCAATGTTCACCAAAACCTTTCTGATGATAGGATGAACACTCCTATTATGTGTTATTAAATAGCCTTTGCTAGTGCCTTTGACTTTTACATTCAAAATACAGCAGTCTGTTTTCAACATCATGGTTGTTACTCCCCCCAAGGCAAAACCACAGCCATACGCACAGAAATTATCGCCAATGGAGACGCTCACACTAGTACCAGGATCTGATCATTTCACAATGTCTAGTCTAGCTGCTCTCCATGCATCACCATTTGCACAAGGCTTCAGCAACAATGAATGTCAAGCGGCTGGAAGGGCATTGTTTAGGCATGACATGCACATTTATGGTGCTCATTATCACGCTAGGAAACCTGGTGGTCTTCACCCGGCATATGCTGCATTCAATCAGACTTACATATGGTAAAGAGAGGACTCTCACTCATGTCGAACTAGTTGAGGCTGCACTCCAGGATATTTTTGATGCAGTAAGTTTAGACTTTCATACATTCTTTCTAAAATTTCATAAATTATTCAGGTAACCATGCAAGACCATATTGATGGTGGAATCTCTCTCCTCATTCAATGCCCAGGCTCTGAAGTGTCTTCAACAGCCTTGCCTGAGGAACTTGCTCTTGACCTCTACATCACACCCCATGAACTTCAAGAAACACCACAGTGCATCAGTGGAGATGTTACTACCTTAGTACAGGCTTTTGCTGCAGAATTTGTGCTACCTCATCTTCAACACTTTTCCAAGTGTTGTGCTGTCGAAGGCATCAAACCACCTAAGCGCTGTAAGTCAATTGATTTTTGTATACTAATCTCACTGCTAACATAATTCTGAAGTTCCTGCTGCACATATCAATACTCATGGTCCACAATACCTTCCTGCACCCATGGATGCTGCTGGAGCCCATATTCAGTGCTCTGCGCAATCACCGCAAGCTTTTTCCAATGACTTCGAAGTTCAAGCTCAGTCAAAAGACTCCAACCAACATCCTGTCTGCAGCCATTCGTCAGGGAGTGGAATTGGCTATCAGCACTGCGAAAAAACCAACAGCACATTCCCAGCGGATTTGTCAACATTGACTCGCAGATGTATTTGTCCCTGGAGATAACAATGCAGGCCCGCTTTTGTCAGGTCAGGAACTTAGCCACAATGAGCCAAGGTTTGGCCCTGCACTCATTAGCATTGGAGTAAATACTGATGTGGCACTTGATCGGCTCGGTTTGGGAGATGAAATTTTGCTTAGATTGTGAACCTTAATTGGAACTACCTGCAGTAGCCGATGGGAGGTAGTGTTTAGGTCGCCAAAGTGGAACCTTACTTACAAACAGGCTGCTATCCTGTCGAAGGCTCTGCTCGCTGACCTTCAAGTTCAACCTGAGGTTGTCAAGGTTGGTGTTTTTTTATACTATTTCAAACTGTTCAATCTATGCTAACTCTTTTGGTGTTAGTATGATCTATCATATTCAGTACTGACACTCATTCTCAAGGTCCTTGGAATTCTAGTCTTTGTATGTGCGCTTTACTTCTTTGGATTAGTGTTCTTGTAGATCTTAGAATCCGTTTATGTCAGTCTGAATATGTGTGTCCATCTACCCTGAACCTGCCATCCACAGCCTTGAAATTTATTTATTTATTCATGGTGTGTTAAATATCTTAGCTTGGATGCAAACTAGTGCTTACACCATTGCAGCAAACAATGGTCTCTCAGTCGTTTCATGTCGTCAAGAGCGTCTCTGCAGGTCAGCGCATTCAACTGCCACCTTGTACTTGTCCCAAGGTTGTTTTAAGCAAAGAAGCGCGAGCTGCACTCATACACAGCCGACAGGAGAAGTCTCGTCAATTCAGAGACGCCTTCAATGACGCCTGGAACCAGCTTGATGAGGCCACAAAGACCATTGCTGTGTCTCACCACAAAAGTGTATGCTACGTGCAAAATGACTTGTGTTACAGTCACTACATGAGCCCCCAGCTACTCAACCAGCCCTCCGCCACCTCGCACGGCAACGACACGATAACCGGGCCTTTAGGCCTTGATGATAAATGACGAATGGAAGAGAAGTCCGGAAGATGCCGGCTTAGATAAGCGGTCTGGACCGCGATGACGAACACATGACGACATAGGTCTAGAAGACCTATTTATGTTATCAAGATAGAAGCCTGCCTCATGCATGGTATCTCTGACTCGATAGATAAGCAGATTAGAACCCAGCTTCAAGCTGAGCTTAGATACGACAGAGTAGCCTTATATAAGGTCGACGATTAAAGTAGATGTTCCTTACTTTAATCCTACTGGGTTTTACCTCGAAACCTTTGTCTTGCTAAAGCTACCTGCTTGACATCAGATCCGTACCTTCAGAAGGACTTGAAGCCCCTTCTGCCTGTAACTGCTATCATTGCTCGCCTCCACGAGCATACGCAACTCTTACTTATCTGTAGGAGCCAACCTTCGGACTCTCAGCATGAGGCATCACTGTCGTGATCGTCGCTGTTAGATCATCCCAGTCCGCACACGACTTATGTCGTAACAAAGGATTAAAGTCCCCTCATCGTACGCCTCCATCATAGGCTACGAGATAACTAATCGCACTTGCTGTCAACGTCACCGACACTTGTAGAACCCTGAACCTAGTTCCCGAAAGGATTTTCATATCCCTGATCTAGAACCCTGATTGTACCGGCCTGACCAGTCGCAAGAATATAAGAACCGCCGTCACTGTGGAAAGCTCCAGGAAAAGGATACCACGAAGATCGTAGAAACCATCTCCAATATGGCAACTACCAGAAACACCTTCACCGCTATGCACCTCAACGGGAAGGAGACTCGCCTCTGTCTGCGAGAGAAGAAATGTTTTGTGTGCCACGTCATCGGACACAAAGCCGCGAGCTGTCCTCAAGGGACCCGAACCTCACGGAGAAAGATGATCGAAGAAGAACCCCGCCTGCGTACTATCAAGGTGGCCGGGGCTAAGAATGATCTGCGGGTGAACGCCACCCTGATTTCCAGAACAAGAAGTAACCCCATCGCGACATCGATGATCGTAGATTCTGGGGCGTGTCAGTCCTTCATCAACCAGAACATGATCACGCAGCACCACATCTTGACGCACCAGCTAGAGAACCCCCTGACACTCTCGAACGCTGACGGATCCTGCTTCGGAAAGAAGCCAATAGAAAGGTTTTGCAACCTTACTTTCCAGATTGATGAACGGGTAATCTCCGAACGGTTTTACCTAGCCGAACTTGGTCCGAAAGACAAGTTCCTGCTTGGACGACCTTGGCTTACCAGCCAGAACCCCTTGATCAATTGGAAAACCGGCACGGTAACCCTCAAGAGTACCGCAGATTCCCGAAAAAAGCAGAAAGAAATAGATTCTGATCGGAAGAAGAACAGCAAGACGCCCCTCTTCCTGAAAGAAGATAAGAAGGTAGCATTGAAGAGAAAACGATCGGTATCCCCGACTACTCCCCGCACCTTCTCCTCGGGCTCTGTACCATCAGCCCGAACGACACAGAACGCACCGGTCCACGAAAAACCGCAGAACAGAACCCCCGTTGAACCTTCAGAGACCGCACCACAGCCCGCGAAAACTGTGACGAAGAAAGACTCGCTGCCTAGAATCGACCTTGTAGTGAAAAGATATGAACAGCAGAGACCGGCCACTGACCCGGAGACAACTCAGAAAAAGACTTCCAGACCGGCGCTGATATCTGACCACATTTATCCTGAACCGCCACGAACGAAGAAGATTGTACCGGCTGTTCAGCCGATGGAGATTGAAGAAGATCCCGCACCTGCCCGATATGAATTCTCGGCAGAGCCTGCACAAGTCCTTGGGAAGGGACGTGCAATAATGAACGAAGAACCGCCTGTATCCAAGGCGCCCAGACTGGCCCCTGAACCAGAGAAAACTCAGAGATTCGAATTTTCTGGAGAACCGATATCCGTTCTCGGAAAAGGACAAGCAGTCCGAATCGAAGAACCCCCCACTGCCAAGAAACTCAGACTCTATGAAAGCCCTGAGTCCACAATGGAAGAAGACCCCGAACCGGCGTATTTAACCGCCGATGAACCACCGAATTCCCTCAACCTCTCCATGACACCCGCGCATAATTCCGAAGAAGCAATGACGCTGTCTTCTAATTCCGAACTCCCTCCTGTGTTACAAGAAGCCCAGGATATTTTCATTGAACGAATCGCTTCGATCCACGAAGCATATCGTCAAAATGAAATAAAAAAGGAAGCACTAGATACCGGGCCCAGTTTTGTCCGATTTATCGACATGGACAACTCCGAGGATGACGAGGATGAAGATGATGACGCACCCTCTTCGCATGATCTGCGAATGGTAGATTCAGAAGGAAACGACTTCGAAGACGATGGCCCGTCCCCTGGCCTAGACTTCTGATTGAATATGATTAGTCGGTGACTAATGGCTTAGTAAGGGGGTGAAATCCTCCATTTTACTTATTTTTCCACGCCTACTCCACCCCGAACACTGATCACCAATCCCGAACTCGACCAACTTCCACTAGATATGGTCCAGAACGACCTAAAACTAGATTAGTCCGGAAAGACTCTAAACTACGATTGTCCGAAATGACTTGAAACTAGACGATGAAAGGACGAACCCCGGAAAACTCCTGCAAGCTTCGGGACCCCTCACATCACTGCACTTCGACCACCTGAGTAAAGACCAGATATAAACAAAGGGTAATAGAAGACGATCTCCCCGCTGGACGACCCCAAGAAACTCCTACAAAGCCTTGGCACCCACGCTCGGATCCCCACCTTCGACATCTAATAAAGAATCTAGAAATAGATCTCTACGGAAGATAAGAAGATTAGACCTCTGGAATGAGGCTAAACTATCACGAGACGAACTCCACGGAAACTCCTGCAAGCCCATGGAACCCTCTAGAACCCATCATGGCAATGACGACCACCCTCTGATGACGACCTGATCTTTCAAAACAAAGATAAAGGATGATAGTACCTATCACGGCACTTTCCCTCTGATAGCGAAGAAGAATCTCGAACACGAGTTAGCCTCATGGCTAGATAAAACGATAAGAGATAACGATAAAGATAAGTTTAGATTGAATCGGAGCTCGGATTGATCTGGAAGAAGGTTATAAACCCTCTCGATCCCTGAACATCTCTCCCAACAAACCTCCATCATCATCATGACAAACTCCATCGACAACGACTCTATCAAAATAGCACTGAAGGACTCAGACTACAGATCAGTCCTCAGAATGATGGAAAACAGCGCGTTCAATGAAGCTGCTATCCTGACCCCCGTGTACTCCCAAGCGATCGACGAAATCCTTGGTGAACAAGACGCCAGAACTGCAGCGTGTACATCCCTCACCGTCTGCATTATACGAACCACGAAGCTGCTAGAAGATGTAGCCAATCGTGTTGACCTTGATGAAGCAACTCGGAAACTTGCTATACTTCATCTGCAACGGCGGATCAGAAACTTCACACTTCACTTACTCCCTCTCGACTTCTCCGATATCACCAACCTAGCGATAAAGAAAGTTGAAGTGAAGCCACTTATAGAAGAACCCCGCCCGGTACGCCCGCTGAGAAGAAAGGCGGCTACCATAGATCGAACCCGCACCACGCTCTGCAAGCGCTGCGGAGGATATGGACATCAGTTCAGAAAATGTCCAGATTATGTTTGTTGCATCTGCGATGAACTAGGACCTGACCATCTGTCCGTCCACTGCCCACGACTCGAAGGACGCATTGTGCTCCAAGAGTTTAGTGATGAAGAGAAGTTTTTTGAAGCTCTCTTAGATTGGGAGCATAACCACAAGGCACTCGCGAATCTAGAACTTCGGCATCCCACCGAACTTTCCCCTGCCCCCGAAACTCCCTCAGTACCTTCCGTCTCCACGCCAGCAATTCCCGCACTACCTACTGCTACGATGGAAGAAGATGTTTAGAAATCAAAGTCGGTGACTTTGTGCGTAGTAATGGGGTAATGTTACAGTCACTACGTGAGCCCCCAGCTACTCGACCAGCCCTCCACCACCTCGCACGGCAACGACACGATAACCGGGCCTTTAGGCCTTGATGATAAATGACGAATGGAAGAGAAGTCCGGAAGATGCCGGCTTAGATAAGCGGTCTGGACCGCGATGACGAACACATGACGACATAGGTCTAGAAGACCTATTTATGTTATCAAGATAGAAGCCTGCCTCATGCATGGTATCTCTGACTCGATAGATAAGCAGATTAGAACCCAGCTTCAAGCTGAGCTTAGATACGACAGAGTAGCCTTATATAAGGTCGACGATTAAAGTAGATGTTCCTTACTTTAATCCTACTGGGTTTTACCTCGAAACCTTTGTCTTGCTAAAGCTACCTGCTTGACATCAGATCCGTACCTTCAGAAGGACTTGAAGCCCCTTCTGCCTGTAACTGCTATCATTGCTCGCCTCCACGAGCATACGCAACTCTTACTTATCTGTAGGAGCCAACCTTCGGACTCTCAGCACGAGGCATCACTGTCGTGATCGTCGCTGTTAGATCATCCCAGTCCGCACACGACTTACGTCGTAACAACTTGTATATTGGTCATGGTTTGCTTTGCTCAAGGCATTCCAAGCTGAATGCATGGAATGCGTTCTGCTGGAAGAAAAACCAAGAGACCAAGAACCGTAAGCTTGTTTGACTCATTACACACACTTACTAACACATTTTTTGACAGGTAATCAGGGCCGAGGGGCACTTGAATTACTCGTCCATGAACATCGGGATGAATACCTTCGACTTTCGAAGGATGAGTAAGACAATATACTTGCAGAGTATGCTGATTGGAAAATGACAAAGGTTACTGGCCTCCATGTCTCAGAAAAGTTCAAGATAAATGACATTACTCAAACTCTCAAAGCTGTCAAAAATGAGGTGCGTCCTTCATTCATTTGACTTTCAAGCTTACTGATACCTAGTCCATACTACTGCTAGCTCAACAGCCTCAACTGTTGCACAGGTGCAGAGACCATTCTGTATACAACACGTGGCTCTACAGATCTCCTTCTGCGAGGTGTCGCCTTTGCCACCAAAGGTGTCCAACACTTCATGAGTTCTGTCATGGGGATCGACAATCAAGATCTAGTCAGCAAGATGGAAGGTTTTGCAGTGCAAGGGATGAAAGGTTTGAATGTTCATTATTATTTTTTGCCTACTGACTCATTACATTTAGGCACTGCTACAAATCACAAATAACAAGTCTCCGAAATTCACTCAAAAATTCATGATATCATCAACATCAAACTACATCAGGTTTTTCTAGTCTTCTGCAAGGTATTTGACTCATATGCATTGATAGAACTCATCACTGGTGATCCTGATGCCAGGATGCAGTGGACACATTATTTTCGTAATGTTGTTCAGCACTATCAAGTCGCCATTGAGAGCTGGCCGGACAACATTACATTCACTAACCTTAGTCAAGCCTCGAGTGCACGTCCCGACCTCGAGATGCTTTACTCAAAGTGGGAGTCAAAACAAATCAAATGGAAGGTACTGGCTGATGAGGAGTTCGAGGAGCTTTATTCAAAATGCCAGGGGCAGATTGACAGAGGCAAGATCATTGATCACCGTCGGTGAACTCATTCTGACAAAGGAAAGAAGCGCAAAGGGCTCCCAGCTGCCATGAACCCAAATCGCTGCAAAAAGTATGAGAGTTCTGAGACCGCCGAGGACAATGATTGCACTGATGAAGAGGATGAGCATGGGGATGAAGAACGAGATGAGCCTGTTGATGAGCCTGTCCGTCGATTTTCCACACCAGCAGCTGCTCATGCTGCTAATCAACCCTCTACTTTTGATCTGGCTAATACCTCTACTAGTTTGCAGTTGCCAGGTTCTAATGTCCCTCTCCCTTCCAATGCTCCAGATGCATCAGATTTCAACTTTTATATCCCTAGAGACTCTGATGTATCGACTTTCCCTCAGTTTGACTCTGATGCTATGTTAGCAACCTTAGATAGGATGTTCGGTCCTGCACCTTAGATTTTCCTACTGCGTATCACGCACAACTCTTGTTCAAGTTCAATGTTTTGTCTCACACTTTATCATATTAACATATACAGGTTATATTTGCATAACTACAATCAAGTTCATGAGGCTGAGGGAGTCGTGCAGGAGCACTTCAAAATTCATTCCATAGTCTATCATCAAGCAAGGGGCATCAGAAGTAAATGTAAGACTCATTGAGCACGTCCGACCTATTAAACTGATAAGCAGTTTGAACGACTTCACTTGAATTATGCACTCACATTCAAAATAGGTATAATTCAGTGGTGATCACGCCAATGAGGATAAATGACTTTTGCCAAGCGCGATAGTAGGGCAGGTGGCAGTATCCACGTCAACACTGTAAACATTGCAAACGTGGAGGGTGGTAATGGGGAGGAGAATGCTTGATGGGAGGACGATAGTAGGGCAGGTTGCGGTATCCACATCAGCACTGTAAACATTGCAGATGTAGAGGGTGGTAATGGGGAGGAGAATGCTTGATGGGAGCACAATAATAGGGCAGGTTGTGGTATCCACATTGGCACTGTAAATGTTGCAAGCATAGAGGGTGGTAATGGTGAGGAAAATGCTTCTTGATAGTCTGTAAACAGAGGCCTCTGAGCCTGAGAAGGACTGCACCATGAGATGTTGTGTGTTGATGCTGTCCTGGTCGGCCTAAGATGGAAGCTGCTGGAATGACAGGAAATGCATAGAACCGAGAGGCCTCTGAGCCTGTGTCACAGGACATGATGTGCAGGTGCTGTCCTGGCCAGTGTGGGCAGCAGCGTAAAGGTGAGGAGCAAGGGGTGTGGGAGCGCCCCTTGCCCAAACAGAACCCTCATTGGGAAACGGACCTGGAACGGAAACTGCCGGAATGGTGGGAATGGCGGGAATGGTGCTGTAGAGAGCACTGGCTACCCTAATTAGTAAGTGTGGTAAACACGTACCTTGCCGAATATATTTAGCAGCTGTGATAATCTAAGAAGTAAAGTACGACGGTTTCGGAAACGCTCGGGCGCTCGCGTGGCTTTCGCCTATTTCGCTAAAGGCCATGTGGTTTGCGCTTAGCTCGCTTAACCTCGATTTGGCAGCTCGCGTGCGTGAATGTGTGAAAAGGATTGTGCGCTCGCTAAGACTAAGACTAAGTAAATAAAAAGTGTGAATAAACAATTTGAGTGAAATTTCTACTAAGTCCGAAAATACTGCCAAACGTGATATAGTGGACAGTATTCCTCACGCCTACTGCGCCGCGGGAATGCAACGGACAAACAACAGACTTTTCCTACTATATGGGAAAGGCATCGAGAATAACAAAAGCAATAATAGAAATTTGATTACACAATTTGGTTACACAAATCATTACACAAATTACACAACTTGGCTGCTGCTTTTGAATAAAATTCTCGAGTTAAATTGCCTTTCCCTGCAGCCAAGTGTAATAAAGTGTGACACACTTTTGGTGGGTGTCATTTCTTATCAACAATGATAAAAGTGACTTATCAATGAGCTCAGGCAAATTTCACACTTGCTAAACAACAGTTTGGATATTATAATATAACAAAGATGGATCAAAATTTTCCTATTCCGTGAGTTGTTGACTATAAAATTGCTATGTGCAAGGTGCATGATGCTGATGTCTGCACATTTAGACAACAACCACAGATCACACCAGAACGTGACCGCCAATCGCAACGTGAACAAGATAGAATTAACAGACTTCAAATGACGTCTCCCACCAGACGCAATCGCCGTCGGGCTGCCCAGGTTAATCAAGACAGACCTCCGCCTGCTGTACCACAGCCAAATTTTGTGCCAGCTAATGAGCCACAAGCAGGCCCTGTTCTACGACCTTTTGCATGGCAACCCCCCGCACACTTCCCATATCAACCACTACCAGTTGAGCGATATCCTGGCTTGCCAAGAAATGCAATTGCGCATGTGGAGCGTGCTCATCATCATATTCCTCCTGTTGATTATAATGCTCGCTTAAATGAGCAAATGAATGCTGCTCAAAATGATAGGCGCCATCAGTGAAACCTCCGTCGGCGACAGGACAGAGAATGAAATAAGACAGCAGGCACAGGCAGAGCTTATGGCAGCTAGGAATACAGCCTCCACAGGTACCTCACATTCCTGATGAACCTGCTCCTGTGCCTCCTGCTCCTGCATATGGCCCTATTCATTATGAGGGTGCAGTTGGACCTCAGAACTTCAATAATCCCCTCCGTTACTTTGCGCCTAATCCTGCACCACCTTTGCATGCTCCGCCTCAACCTGATTACCATCAGTTTAACATCCAATTTCATCACCATTTCCAGCAAGAAGAGATGGAAAATGAACGGATTAGAAATGACTTTCTTCAGAGACAAGCACAAGAGGCATTTCATCAACAGCAGATTCAGCTGGAATTGCAGCAGCAGGAAGCTAGGCGGAGAAATAGAGAGGCTCAGTATGCTTTTGAAATACAGCAGCAGGAAGTTGAGTGGCGCAATAGACAAGCGCAGGAGGCTCATCGCATACAGCAGGAGGAAGCTGAGCGGGCTGATAGACAGGCTCAGGATATTCAGCAAGCAGGTCAACAGGTAGAAGAGGAACAACATCGCCAGGAGCAGAGGAATCATGAGCAACAGGAGCGTCTTGAAGAGGCATTGCGTGAATACGATAATCCTGCTTCTCAGCAGCAGCATGAAGATGACGAGGAAAGAAGAAGAACTCAGGAGCAAGAACGTCGCCAGCAGCGCGATGCAGAGGATGATGAATATATTAACCAGGCGCCTGTCCGAAATATCCCTATCCCAGATGGAGCTCGACCATACACAGAGCCCATTGATCGTCACACTCTTGGTCCTCTTAATGTGGAGTGCCCCAACTGCCATGCCCTGCATTTTGCATGTGAGAGACTCACCAAATCATCTGCACAAAACCCACACTTTGGTACATGCTGCTTGGAGGGAAAAGTCGACCTTGCTCCCTTTCCAGCATGGCCACACGAGCTGCAACAGGCATATGGAGACAGAACATTTGTGTCCAAGATTCGCCAGTACAACAGTGCTCTTGCATTCACATCTGTAGGCGTCACCATCAAGGATAGGGCCCTTCAAGGCTCTGGCCCAAATGCTTTTCGTATACATGGTTCTCTTCACCACCTTATGGGCAGCCTGATTGCCTCTGAAGGTACTCGGCCTTCATATGCTCAAATCTACATTTATGATCCCGAAGATGCCACCGACATCCGCGCCAACCGACCAGGAAATGAAAACCTCGATCATCAGATTCTTAGAGAGCTCCATGACATGCTTTATCGAACTCATCCCTATGTTGCTCTTTATAAGCAGGCCTATCAAGTTATGCGCGAGAAGCCTCCAGAGCAGCACACAGAAGTTCGTGCACGCATTCACTTTCAGCAGGGCACAGATGGTCGAAGATATAATCTTCCCACTGCTGATGAAATTGCTGTGATCATACCTGGAGATGGATCTGAGGAGATATCCGACAAACGAGATATTGTCTTGCGACTTCAAGGTGGTCAGCTGCGACGCATTAGTCAGCTCAGCCATGCATACTCAACCCTTCACTATGTACTTCTCTTTCCTTCTGGCGAGGAAGGCTGGCACCTTGGAATACCTCTCAACATCCCTCAAGGCGGACGTACACGTTCAAAAGAAGTGACCCAGCTGTTATACTACGCCTTCCGTCTTCACCCCCGCCCCAATCGTATCGATAACAACAACATCTTCCATGGTGGAAGACTGTTCCAGCAGTATATCGTTGATGCTTGGGCTTCCATCGAACAGAGCAATCTGAATTGGATAACCAAGAACCAAAAAAAACTTAGGGCGGACTGCTACCGAGGCCTGGCAGATAACATCCTCAATGATGGCACAGATGATCTGGCTCAGACAGGTCGCTCAATTATTCTCCCATCATCACATACTGGAAGCCCCCGCTATATGCACCAGTTGCTTCAGGATTCATTGGCCATTTGCCGTGCCTGCAAGAAGCCCGACCTCTTCCTAACAATGACTGCAAATGGAAGTTGGCCTGAGATCACTGAAAACCTCCTTCCAGGTAAATTTTATTAATTGATTTATGATGTTGTTGCTAATATTGCTTATGTAGGTCAGAGCGCTGTGGATCGTCCAGATTTGGTGGCTCGCGTCTTCTACCAAAAGCAACAAGCGCTCTTGAAGAAGGTTCGCAAGGGCTACTATGGAAAAGTTGCAGGATTGGTGTACACCATCGAATATCAGAAGCGCGGTCTCCCTCACATGCATCTGCTTATCTTCCTCGACCCAAATCATAAGATAAGGACTGTGGAGCAAGTGAACTCATTCATCTCTGCTCAGATACCGGATAGTGATGTGCACCCACAACTCTACGAAGCTGTATCAAAATACATGCTCCATGGCCCATGCAGTCCAGAGCGTTGCTTGGAGAATGGACAGTGCAAAAAGCACTTTCCAAAGTCTTTCTGTGGTGAGACATCCTTGAAGGATGATGGCTACCCAGATTATGCAAGACCAGATAATGCTCGCACGATCCAAAAGAATAATAATGTCTTCACCAATAAAGATGTTGTTCCTCACCCTCTGTAACTGCTGGTCGAATTTAACTGCCACATTAATTTGGAAGTCTGCGCTTCGATCAATTCTGTCAAGTATATTCATAAGTATATCTACAAAGGACATGACCGTGCGACTTTGGAGGTGGAAGGACCGGTGGATGAGGTCAAATCATACCTTGACGCCAGGTATATTAGCTCGATTGAGGCTGCATGGCGCATCATGGAAAATGAGATGCACCTTGAATGGCCTGCTGTCTACCGCTTGCCAGTCCACCTCCCAGGTGAACACATGGTTGTCTATGATCCTGACGATAATCCCGAGGATGTTGTCGAGCGTGCAGCAGCAAAGGAGACTCACCTCACTGGATGGTTCAAAGCCAATGCCGATGAAAACATGGTGGCAGCTGGAGCCCATGATCTCCTCTACCAGGATTTCCCCTCAAAGTTTGTATGGCAAAAAGTTACTTGGAAGATACGTCAGCGTGGAGTTGCAATTGGAAGGATGTATTCTGCTGCCCCTGGCTCTGGAGAGAGATTTTATCTGAGATTGCTTTTGACCGTAGTGAAAGGTATGATTTCTGCGATGATTTTTATGAATCAAACTTAATGTGTTTTTTCAAAGGTGCTACCTCCTATGAACATCTTCGGACTGTCGATGATGTTGTCTGTGAGACTTTCAAGGACGCATGTCAGCTCAGGGGTCTGCTAGATGATGATAATGAATGGATTCAGTGCTTGCGGGATGCCTCTCATATGTGCACTGGATACCATACACGAAATCTATTTGCCATCATCCTCCTCTTCTGCAACCCTACAAGCCCTGACGACCTTTGGAACCGCTTCAAGGATAATCTCTGCAATGATCTGCGCCATCGTCTCGCTCGCATGCCATTTAACATGCCAGATGCTACTGAGGAGGAGGTCTATGACTATGGTCTCTATCTCATCGATGGAGTGCTTCGCAAAAATGGAAAGTCTTTGGATGCCATTCCCCACATGCCTGTCTCTCAAATGGCAGCAAGATGGGGGGCCATGGAGGGTAACCAGTTGATTGCTGAGCAGCTCCAGTACAACCAAGAAGAGCTTCAGCAGGTGGTGGATAGAGGAGTTCCTTCTCTCAATGAAGAGCAGAGGGCGGTCTTTGATACAGTGGTCGATGATGCAATGCATCGGGATGAGCGCAGACCAGGACATTCATACTTTGTCCACAGTGCAGGTGGATGTGGCAAGACATATCTCTGCAAGCTCATCGCTTCAAAACTCCGTGCTGAAGGCAAGATCGTCCTATGTGTGGCTTCCTCCGGAATCGCTTCTCTCCTCCTGCCAGTTGGACGTACAGCTCATTCGTGATTCAAGATCCCTATCCCTATTCATGAAGACAGCTCTTGCAATATAAAGAAAGGAGACATTCTTCATGAGCTTCTCAAGGCCACTTCCCTAATCATCTGTGATGAAATTCCAATGTTACACCGCCATATCCTGGAATGCCTTGACCGCACATTACGTGATCTTCTGAATGTTGATGCTGATTTTGGAGGAATAACCATGCTCTTTGGAGGAGACTTCAGACAGACCCTGCCGGTGGTGCCTCATGGATCCAGGGAGCAGATAGTGGGCGCTACCTTTTGCAGATCTCGCATTTGGTCAAGGCTTCATATATTCCATCTCAAGAGAAATATGTGTCTTGGTCAAGATCCCGCTTCTGATGATTTTGCAAGGTGGCTTCTTGAGATTGGAGCTGGTAGGGGCACAAATGAAGATGGAACTGTGACCCTTCCTGCCCACATGCGGTGTCCCAACAATGACCTCCAGTCTCTCATCAATGCCCTATACTCAAGAATTCTGCTCCCTGATCGTCCTCCCTTAAACGATTCATACTTCCTGGATCACACCATTCTTTCTGCAAAGAACACTGATGTGGATGAAATCAATGCCACTATCCTCAAATCATTCCCTGGAGAAAAAGCAGTCTTCACCAGTGCGGACTCAGTCACGGAGAGAGAATACAATTACATTCCCCCAGAGTTCCTTCATACTCTCGCCCCATCAGGCTTCCCTTTGCACACATTGGAGGTCAAAGCAGGTGTTCCTCTAATGCTTTTGCGCAATTTGAACCCCTTGCAGGGACTCTATAATGGAACTCGCATGATACTCCTGTCTTGGACCACCCGTGTCCTTAGGTGCCGTGTTCTTAGGGATGGAGACGATGAAGATCAGCAGGTCGATGAGAACACAGTCCTAATCCCTCGCATCACTATGGAATCCAGCTCTGAAGAGAACCCAATCCCCCTCAAGCGTCGCCAGTTTCCTGTTCGTCTTGCATTCGCTATGACAATCAACAAGGCGCAAGGTCAAAGTGTCAAGTGGGTTGGCCTTAATTTACGGACTCCTGTATTCAGCCATGGACAACTCTATGTGGCTTTATCTCGCTGCACCCACCCAGACAGGGTGTTTGCTATCTTTCCGGAGCATGAAGAAGGCTCAAATACAACCAATGTAGTATATACAGAAGTGCTTAGAGGACTCACAGATCGTATCAACGATTGATGTACTTATATATATAGAACTGACTGATCTTATGTACTATGTACTTTTAGTTTTCTTGAAATGCTGCTCATAAATGTACCTCTTTTCGAAATCCACTATCAAGGCATGATCTTATTCAAAATGCATGATTTATTAGGATGCAGCCTGAGGCCAGGAAGCCAAAGGAGGGCGTAGCCCTCCTTGGCTTCCTGTGACGAAGGAACAACACTCATTTTCCTCCCCTGAAGGAGCGCGTAGCGCTCCTTCGATTTGTGCCGAAGGCACAACGGGCGTGAGCTCGTACAGTACTAGAGGTAAAATATGATTTAGGGCAATATTTATTGCTGGTGTTGGGATTTAACTACAGGCGAGCCTAATTATAGTTGGCACGGCACGTCTGTACCAAGCCTAGTAAGGCTTACTAATTCCCCGACTCCACGTTAGTGGAGAGGGTTCTCTCGGACACGAACGTTCAAAGCCCTGCAAACGCACCCGTGGGTATGTGAATTTGATGTCGCTTAGTCAGTGGGAAAAAAGTTGGTTCGTGACCCTCGCTGACATATATTTTTTACTCTCATTATTCAAGCCTTCCTGCCATTCCTGTATCCCGCCCTCAAAGCACACGAAGATACCCAGTTGTGCATGGTCGCCGTTGACACCAGTTCTCACTCCTCTCGTCAACCAGGCGCTTCTCCCGTCGCATCAACAACCCCACTCATCACCCTAAACCTTGGGCCATCCGTCCGAGCGAGCACAATAACTCCGGTGAGTTTTTTATTTATTTTTATTTGCACTTCACTTCCTGGTCCGACACGCCTCTAGGAGGTGACTTGGACCAGAGGCTGTCAGGCTGCAAGGACACGCCTCTAGGAGGTGACTCTGAGCACTTAAGCCTGACAGCTTTTAACTTTTATCATATTGGTTCCTACTACCTACTATGTGTACTGACTTCGTTTCTTGTACTAGGCCATTTCTAGGCGGGGTACACCTTCTGAACAGGTCTGTTTATTGTCCTACTTGCCTGCTGCGCTAATAACTCAATACCATTATCCAGACTCATTTCACGTGACAGTAAAACGGCGTAAAACGCTCGACATAAGTATTGAATCCTTTGTTGATCGCCCAAACTTGTTGTCGCTCTCAGTATTCTGTTGCTGTCAGTATAGTATCTCAATATCTCTCGTTATTCCTTTGCTTTGTCTGCAGGACCGTACCACATGTAAGTGTATATTTTTCCATCTCCCTGATTTTTTGATTAATTTTGGTTGTCCTTCAGGGTTTTCATTCAAAAGTTGCCTTGTCGTTCGGCTCGCGTCTTGAAGGAAAGCCACTGCCCTCCTGATGACGAGCTCCATGCTGTTCGAGACTATCCAAATTATTATGATGCACTCTATTATCCTGAATACCATCTCGTATATTATGAAACACCCGAAAATTTTTGCATGTGGCTTAAAGCCTCTCTCGCCTCACACTCGTTGTCTTGTCTGACTTGTGACTCGTCCGGTTTTGATGGATGCATCTCATATGACGGTGTTTGTATTACTGTGAGTTGGCGAGATGTTACATTATCGATGTCTCTGAGTGAATTTGCAGAGGCTGGTTACCGCCATTGTGTAGTCTTTCGCAAGCTTGCTTCATGTGACTCACTGACGGTTGACGCTTGCTTGAACTCTAGAATACACGACTTTCCTAGATGGATGTACTACAGTGACAGTGTTGTAGAGGTGAATTTGTCGTCTCTTTTTGATAAAGTTCTTCTTGACTGTGTATGCCGGCTCTCTTTACCCAGGGAGCGATCAAAAAAAAGTCGCTTGCATGCAGTGCTATCGCATTTTACATATACTAGGACAACATTACTCCAATCGGACGAAGACCGGCTGCGAGCGATACTCTCGAGTGCCACTGTACACGCACGATGTACTTCGCCACTATTGCCTCTGCTGGCAACATATTTCAGCAGTTTATATGGGGATGAGGTTTTCCGTGCACTCTGTCGGCCGCCGCCACAAATTTATGCCGCTGGATCCATTAAGGTGCCCAAAATCAGCTGGTCCGTACTTCCACTTCAAGATCTAGTTCACAGACTTAGTAAACTTGCTGTTGATGTGCTTTCAGAATGTATTCGTGGTCTGCCTGTGAGAGGGCGTCCTGCCATTAGCAGTCAATCACGTCCAAAAATGAGTAATGGTCTGCCTGTCATATCCGAGATCGTGCCCTCTTTCTGCAATGTATTGGCCCGAGTACGGTGTGTGATGTCCTGCTTTGTTACTTCCCTTTCACTCTGCCTTTGGACCGGCCTGATGAACATTACATTGCACAGATACTATCCATAGAGTATGGAGCTGTGGTGATAGAACGTCTCGCTCATCAGATCACTCAAGTTTCCACTCACGAGCGCATGAAAATGGTCAGAAAAGATCGGAAAATGCAGGCGGTACTCGATAAACGCAACATTGATGTTCTCCGTCGGCGCGAATGGCCAGTCGCAGTCTCGAAGGATGTTGTGTTGGATTGCTTACGTCGCTATTATGACACTTCAAAGTGGATCGAGCCCCCTGTTTGTGCAATCTGCTCTCAAAGGCTGCGTGGTTCAAAAGTGGTTGTCATTTCAGCTGATGCTGATGTACCTTTGCCAATATCTGTAGAAGTCCTCCGATTGACCGACCCCTTTATAATCAGACGGTGTATTGTACAGTGCATATCTGCATCATTTACCTTTGAAAATAATGCTCTTAATGGTCTGATGCTCGATAAAGCAGGGATCATCGATGACTCTTCTCAGTTTACCACGATGAACATGTGTGCTGAATGTTTTGCGGCATTGTCGAAGAAAAAGGTGCCTCGACTGGCACTTGCAAATGGCCTCTACCGTGGCGAACTTCCAGAATATTTTCGAGACCTCACCTGGGTTGAGGAGAAGATTTGTGCAATATACAGTACAACCGCCCATGTAGCACGATTGTTTCAGTCGTCAGATCCGGCGCAACCACGGGTATTTCATGGCAATGTATGTGCGCATGAAATGAATGTCGTGTCTACAGCATCTGTATTGCCTCGAACTCCTGCCAATATCAATGGACTTCTCAGTATTGTCTTCGTTGGACCTGGGAGATTCAAGCCTGATCAGTTAGGTCCTATGTTCCGCGTGTGTAAGAATAAAATCTGGGCATTCCTTGTGTGGTTGAAGCATCACAATTGTTTGTATTCTGATATACGTATAGAACGAGAAATTCTTGAGCTTTATCCTACTGACGACGTCATTCCTGGCTTGTCTGAACGTGTGATCGAGAACCACGAGCTTAATGTCAAAAGGGTGTTTGAAGAGGAGACAGCTGGATTTCAAGAGCATCCTGCAGAGCTTTTGGCAGATGGTCTTCATGAAAATGATGATGGGTCTGTTATAACTATGCTCGAGAAGACAGGTGTATCCGATCCGGAGTGTGACAATATTAGTGGACGAACATTCGTCGCTGCTGCTATCAAAAACTTATTTTCGGAGAATAGTGTGTTGCCTGACCTTGTTGTGCATCGAGGACTTGAGCCGGTTAATGAATACAATAATCCTGATCTCATACCAGGCACGTATCCTACTCTTTTTCCGTTTGGAATTGGAGGTTTCGAAGATAAATCTCGGCCTGTGAGCATTTCGTTCCAGCAGCAAGCTCAGTATTATTTGAATATTGTCGATCGATCTTTTCATTACCATCACTCCTTTATGTTTGTTGTGTTGAACATGATACAACGTCGCACAGCACATCTCCAAACATCCTTTACGGTTCGTCGTTCACACTTCCATCATGTAGCTCAGAACCTCACTCAGATTTCACCCGCAATTCTCAGAGGCAATGGGTCAGTCGCCGGCCAAAAAAGGGTCCTTCTCTGCTGGAGTTGGAGACGAGCTTGAGTACATGGAAGAATAGACTCCATGACTGGGTGTTCTGCGCTCGACACTTGTATAATCAGTCCGCGAATTGTACCTTTTCTTGATATTCTTGCTCGAAATTTGTACTCTAATATTCGTGAGAATATATGTCTTCTACGTGATACTGTCCATTCGGAGTCGGGGATTGGCGCACAGGCGCCGTTACGATGGGATAGCCAGGTGGTGTGACGTGCTGTTGCAAGGTGAGCGCCGTTACGATGGTAGTAATCTTTATTTATTCATCAACGGATCCGCATCAGCAGCGTCCATGGTCCTGACTGGATTTAAGCGTAGTAACTGAGCGCGAGTGTCCGGGCTTCCATAATACACAAGTTATTCAGCATATAAAAGGAAGAAGGTGACGTTTCAGATTGATTCAATCGCATCCTCATCACACACAATGCATTTCTCCTTTGCAATCGTCCGAGTCCTCGCCCTCGTTACTGCTTTTGCATCATCAATATCTGCCATGCCCACTGATGCTAGCATTGGGTACTGTCCCATATTTTGCCACAAACAGAGTCAATGTAGTACCTGCCTCTACAACCATTGCGTGAGTTTCAGTAGTTTGTGTCCTGGCTTTAACCGCACGACTCACCGACATGGAAGAGCTTCATTGTATGCACGGGTTGAACGTGACGTAATACGAACATACTAACGGCCCGATATATCGAGTACTTGACTTCAATTTTGAGTACAAGGGAGATGATGAGATTGGACTCGGTTCACAGAGCAGAGAAATAGAAGTTGATCGATGATTTAATTGCTGTGATGATGCGGCGATTAATTTTGAGCGTTTGGTCTTTTATTTCTGATAAGGAGAAGTACGTAGCACGGGCGCCAACAAACAGATGATTGAAACCAGTACGACATCGCAGTGAGAAGTTGATGTATTTCAAGAGAGGCTACTACAAAGAATGTAAAACAAGCATCGTATCGTCAGTCTACGGAGCACACAACACAGGCGCCAAGAGTGAAACAGTCACCAAAACATCCGGTAGGACGCTGCAGTGGGAAGACAAGCTGAGCTACTTGGAGCCTTCCACAACGACGTAAAGTGGTAAAAACTTGGCCTGGAGAGATGACGATAGGGCTGACGCGGGCTACATTGAGGTCATTCAGACACTGCGATGTGCACCTCGGTCCTCGAAAGATGTGAGACCCACATCTCGAGACGTGAAACGCGGTGAGAAGCGGGGATGCTTGTAACCAGGAATGGAATCTTTGAGCACATAACACTGGAAGCCTATCAATGAAGCGTGGGTTATGCGCTGGCAAACATCAAGAAGGTCGTTTCGGAGATATAGGACATCATGATGAAATTAAGGATCCTGCCTGATACGTGGGTATATAAACAATGAGTGTAAACAATAATTTAAAGTCAGCGGTCTTCGAAATAGGCAAGTGTTGTTGATGTACGAAAAGAGGACAATGGTTTAGAAGCACAAAAGACATGTTATTATTCAAAGTTAGATATATACCAGCCATGTACTCAAGGCTTTTCATCCGTTCACCAACAGCATGAATATACGTCAGTTGTATCTTCTTGTCTTTGACTACCAAGTAACTAACCTCCTTACAGTTTTCAATCGTGCTTCATTGAAGCGTAGCTCTCGTACTCGTACCAGAAAACCCTCAGACGCTGGCTGTCCATCAACCCTCGAAATAATACCAGAGTGCTTAGAAATTTGCAACGACTCACGCCTCACTCTATCCGAATTCCCATTCTCAATCGACGATGCCTTGGTCATGCTCAATGACACCCCTCGTTCACCTACTCTATCTGCATCCTCTTCCACAGATGATAGCATGCCTGCTACCCCATGTGCATCAGACGACGAAGATCTTCCTCTCCCAACTCCTCGTCTAACACCAAAGCGCATCACCATTCGTCCTCTCTGTATAACCAAGACCCGTTCTATAGTCTGCGAGGACGTCACCGATCCTCCTGAAGAAGAAGACGAGTACGATTTTTACACACGCCAATTCGAGGACTTTATCTCCCTGTACTCGCCTGTGCCCTCTGCACCTGCACCAGCCCGTCCAGAATCTATCATTCTCTCACCCGAGGTAGCACCCCAGCCACCAAAACCACGCGGACGCAGTCGTTTCTCAAAGGCTCTCCCACTCCTTCCTCTCCCTACCCCACCTCTAACGCCTATACCACCCGTTCCGCAGCTACCAGTCTCAGCTATCCGGAAAAAACGTGTCCTTCCACCCTTGCCAGTCTACCCACCACCCCCACCCCCAATTGAAAACCGCCCCCCTCCTCGTATGGCTGTCCCCTCTGACATCGAAGAGCTCGATGTTCTCGAACAAGAGGAGCAACAGCCAGTTTGCCCAATCATCATCGAACAAATATGGTTTGACGATGAGGAAGAATCCATATATTCTCAGCCTTCCTTCGTACCAAGCCAAGATATCGCACCGGCAATCCCGGAAACACTCAGCCTTCCCCGCGCAAGCACCGACTCTGACACTCCCCGGTCGTCTCTGGACTCATTTTCAAGCAGCCAATCCCACTCTTCCTTCTCATCCTCGAGCTCGTCTGAAGAAAACGCCCCCATCTCCCCCTTCTCCTTCCCTCCCACTCCAGGACCCGAACCCCATCAACTCAGCAGTCGATGGAGCTGTTCCACAATATCTTCACACATTACTGAACCTCCACGCACAATTTTGAGTCCCTTGCGTGGGGTGTTTGTGTCCAAATCGAAGTTGAATTCAAGGTCAAGGCGGGCGCCTCCTCCTCTGCTTCCGATTATGTCTACGCCTCCTCGATCTCGTGCATCGCATAGCTCATCGCCTCTACACCCGCGGAGCAACACCCAGAATCAGACCCGGTCACAGAGTCCGTACAGAATGCCCCTAACACGAATGTTATTCCCCACGACGCCCACAACGCCCACGCCCAGCAGGCACATCCGCCATCAACACTCACGTTCGTCGACGTCTTCTGAGTCGTCTGAAAGCGGGAGCTGTGAGAGCGGAGGCAGTGCGGGGTTGAGAAGGAAACCGATTCCTATTGAGATGTTTTTGCGGGCTTGATTGTCTGAGCGTGGGTGGGGTTTCGATCTTCCTGTCTATTGTCTTTTCCGTTGTTCTTTTGTTCAAAGGTTTTGTTTTACCTTTTTCGATGTCTCCTTGCTCTCGTTAACGACGACGATTTATGATTATTGTATCCATCATCATCACTCGCAGCTCGCTCATTCATGCATATTAATATCCATAATGTACCTGGGTCTTTCCGTCACTTTGCATTTCTTCATTGACACGTCTTTCGTTTTTTTATATCTCTGAACTTTTGCATATCTTTGCATTCCATCACGCTTCTACGCACCCTCTCTGTCTCTATAGCATGGTCCACCTGTAGCCTAGTTCACACTATGATGAAATGATATCCGATGTTTTGACGTTCCTTACGAGCGAGATCAATATATCCCCGCAAATTTCCAACAGATGTCTTACAGTAATATCAGTCTGCCATCAGAGCTGGTCTTTACAAGGTTGGAATCCAAACGAAAATCCGTTTTTCTGCAAGGTTCACTAAATGCAAGGTGCAATGTGCTTCAAGTAAAGCCAGAATCACATTTGGTCAGTAAGATGGAAACTCGTCGTGTGACGAGTTACACCAAAGTCGAGACAATCGGTTAACAGAACAAAACGCTGTATTCATGATAGCTAAGGTTCGAGATACGAGATGATGGTGCAAAGAAAAATAAACAAGTCCAAGCAGAAAAGGCGTGTTGTTACATGCATAAGCATTGTAAGCAATACTAAGAAATATTATTATATTGGTAGGTTGGTAGTGACATACTTACAACGAACAACCACGTATGTCGAACAATTGAGGATTCGTAAAAAAAAGTGATGTGATTGACGAGAATCGATGGGCTCCAGGTACTATTGCAGGTATCGCTACATCTACAACTGAGACGACGTTAGTGATGTCAAAAATGGCAAAGTGAAGCAGCTATGCTCACCAGCCATTGTAAGAATGCTTCCAGCTTGCTCTTTGGCGGGGGATCATCATACATGTCCGCTAAAATTTCAGCTATATCGGTCTTGAAGTCCATGTCCTCTGGAGCAACAGGCTTGGTACCATAGTAGAAGCGAGCGCCAAAGTACATGATTGGCCAGGTGATGAAAAGGATGTAGTTGGTGATGAAAGTTGCAATACTCCACTCTCCTTTGAGGAAGACGTTCCATCCGCTGAACTAAAGAGTAGAGGAACAGTCAGTCTCAATAGCATTGGTGGATATGAAAAGCTGGCATACGAAACAGATGGTAACCGTTGAAACTGCTCCCCACCACGCTGCGTATGGCTGGAGATTTGTGTAGTAAGGGAACTTCGTGCGGTCGATGCCTTGGGCCTGCATACCCTTGTAGAAACGGAGGTACGTCACCGAAATACCAAACCATGTCATAAGGCCAGCGACGGATGTCATGTTAGAAAACCAGATAAACACTGAGCCCGCATTGTTGGACACAGCCATGAAGGTAAGAAGGGAGAAAGAGGCGGAGAAGAGGATAGCGACATAAGGCAGCCCGTTGCGTGAGGTTTTAAGGAAGAATTTGGGAGCATTTCCTGAGATTGCAAGACCATCTACGAAAATTGTTGATTTCGATGAGTTGACTGCAAGATAAGTATACGCACAAATCGCACGAGACGCCGTGTACAAATCACTAGATGCGGCGGACCATGCCGAGGTCAACAAACAAGCATTGATGATCTGTTTTGAATACCATTGTCAATTTCTAGGTAACAAGGGAAGGCCAAATGCGGCTTACCGAAGGCAGTGATTTAATTCCCGCCTTTTCGATAGCAATGACGAATGGAGACTTGGCGGCTGTGTCATGGGCCAATTGGAGAGATGGGTCGTTGGATGGTACAAGCAGACCAATGATGAATGTTCCACCAATGTAAAAAAGCAATATACGGATGTATACTCGACGGATGGCTTTAGGCAAGTTACGACGAGGATTCTTCGCTTCTCCAGCAGCAATCTAGGTGGGATTCGTAAGTAATGGATTTATTGAACAAGCTTATAGTATAACGTACAGCAACAATCTCGGTTCCAAGGAACGAGAAAGCAGCTTGCATCAAAACAGCCCAAAAGCCAAGGAATTGTCCCTTGGCACCTTCGATGCCATTATACTGAACGAATGGTCCAGGATTTTTCCAGTAGCGGAATCCAATGCGGTCATGGTTTGGGCCGCCTCCCAAATCGATGACTATACCGATGATGATAAGACTAGTGATTGTGATGACCTTAATGGATCTGTGGTAATCTCAGAATACAAGGCCGGGATATAATACTTAGTACGCACGCAAATATGAATTCCGCCTCGCCGTAAGCGCCAGCACCGAGCATGTTAATGGCCAGAACGACGACAATACATATGACGACCCACACTGAATTATTGACAGAAGGATTCCAAAAGTTTATCAATACTACAGCAGCAGAAAACTCGGCTGAGATGATAAAAATGTCAGTAGACACGCTAAGAATATGTATTCAACAACTCAAGTACCAGGTGCTAAAGAGTAAGGGGTCAGTAATTGTGAGAAATGGGAGAGCAAGAATGGGACTTACAGGTAATCGTCCAGCTGTACCAGTAATTCCAACCCACGGCAAAAGAGAACGCAGGGTCAACGAAGCGCTCAGCCAGTTTGATGGGACCACCAGGTATAGGCAGGTAGGAAATCTACGAGCCATAAAGATCAGATATGTGATCTAGATCTGGGGCGTGCAGCAAGCATACCATTTCTCCTAAAGTGATCATGACGCAATAGACGATAGAGCCCATGACTATGTAACCGAGCAACAGACCGATGGGGCCTCCTTGCGATAAGGAGTCTGCAGTTCCAACAAAAAGACCAGTACCGATAACACCGCCAATACTTGACGGAATTGAGAATTTGTCAGAAGAAAGAAGAAAGTATAACAGACCTAATCATGGTGATGTGACGATTCTTGAGTTTACGTTGCAGGGTGTTGGTGTTCCGCAAGGGCCTCTGCATAGACTCTCCATCATGGTTTGAGATGTCAGAGAATTCGCCTCTGCTAGTGTGATAAGCAGCAGCATCGGCAGCATCCGTCTTTTCTGTATCCATCATGGTGAGCGCTCGTGAGCGAGAAGAGTAGGAGGGGAGAGATAAGACTTCAACTCAACCACGATCCATACTAGATATATGAGTGTCCGGTGGGCCGTGGTAGTATCTTCTTTACAGACGGTGATCAATATAGACACCATATCTGATTGACCTAGCAGGATTAGGCAGGCCAGGCACCGCACCGTTGCAATGAGGGCCCATCATTGCTCCGCCTCCCTGGATTTCCCGTAAATCTGCTTAGGCAGATCGGAGAATTTCGCTGGAAGAGGTATAAACATAATGGCATCTACCATTCCATGCAGCTCCTATATGATATTGTACAGCATCGACATCTGATTGGAGTGATACGGTCTGCCATTTGGAGGTACAACATAGCCTCCCAGTGCTGTTTACACGATGAGCCTATAGCTACCAGCATTTAAACATGGAGAGTACTTACTGATCAAACTCTACGACACATAATTGGAATCTCACTCGCAGAGGAGCCGCGTAATAGGGCGCGTGATAGGGCGCCATCTCCGAGCTGCAACATCTCACCGTGATCTTTGCCTTTATCACCGCGACGTGCAGCCAGCTGGCGGCCTTCACATCGGCGTCAGTTAGTGGTTGCTTGTATCTGTGGACCGGGAATCTGGCTGGCAGTCTGTAAAAGCATACCTCTAGAGTATGCATATCCGCAGTCTCCCCATAGAGGTTAAAGACTGCATCTGCATCAGAGACGAGTGAATTGAACAGTATCCCAAAAATGGGCTAGTCGTAAACCCACCGTACATTAGGACTGTTGATAATGAGATCCAATTTACTGATGCCGACAGGTTCTGCTCATGATGTTCATCTATGGCAGATTGATGATCATACTTCAGCTACTATTATAGCTAGTGGTAAATGGATTTTACAAGGTTCAGACAGACTAAGACTTGCCAGCAAATGGCCCTTCTTCAAATTCATGCGTGCCCTCGCACGACTGGGATCGATGGGTCTTAGGCCCTGCGGTGGAGACATGCCTACAATCCACGCGGCAGATTTTGCAGCAGGTTGGCGCAAAGTGCATGTGCTCTAAAAACAACCCTGAATTGTCGCATGCCATATTTGGCAGAGAATTTTAACAGCACCTACATCATAGGAAGAAACCAGCCGCCTACAGCCTAATTTCTCGGGCATGAGACGTTCTATGAATGGAGAGCACAGTTCCTATGGCCTCCCGTTCGACCGCAAGCTTGTGAGGCTGACAGTCTGCTATTACAGAACATTCAGTTATGGTACAAACCTGCCAAGCGGTGTGCCCGCAAAAATGATCATATTATATGGTTCATTCCCTGGGCGGATGAAACTTTAACATAGATTGAAAATGAGAGCACAAGTACAAACTGCTTCTAGAGATTATTTGTTCGTGTATAGTATGCCTTCTAGTGTTCGTCAGGGTCGGTCCAAGTCCAGCCTGAGGTCTGAGGTTTCACGGACTTCTATCGGAAATTCATGTGGAAAATTGATGACGGTCCTTTGGGCGAGGTTTGCAGTCCGAGATTAATTGCAGTCCCAGGAGGTAGTGAATATATATATGAAGCATCTATTGCATGAGAATGTGTCTTTAGCAATCAGAATAAGTAGGAGTAGCCACAAGATGAGGCGCGATGAGCGGCAGTAACAGTGCGAGCAGGTTGCCAGAACAGTCGTAGGACGAGCGGAGCTAGTAGGATTGTTTCAAATCTCGCGGAGAACGGCACTTCGCGATGCAAAGGTTCACATGATAAATTACATAACCGTAGACGCGGCCTTTGAAATCAGGTTTAGGGTCCGAGGGACGGCTGAGGATGACGTGGACCGGTTATGGTCAACTCATTGACAACAATATTTTGAAAAATTGGAATTCTAATCGGACAGAATCTGATTTCACGACCATTTACTAGATGTGCACATCTTCAACGCTTTAGCATTAACCTCAGCTTTTCAGCTGCGGGCATATCAAGCTCATATTCTCCGCACGACTGTCGGATGCAGAACAGATCAGATCAAGACAGAACACGATAGCACTTATATAAATTGAGTGATCTGATAGAATATCAAATGAGAATATCCATCCCGCCCCATTCTAACACCCTCAACAAAGTCACGTCACCAGCTCTTGCAGGATCAACTCCAACCACATCCACCCACCAAGCAACGTTTTTCTCGGCTTGCATCTGTGCATTAGCCCAATTTGCTAAGTGCTCCTTACAGATACCTTTGAACAACATGCATACGCGAGTCACGACGTCAGGCTGCGGAGAGATGCATAAAGAAGCAGCGCGTTCGTATGCCGCTTGAGGAACAGGTCGGAGGGCAATATATTCGTGCTTGAAGATATATGGTAGCCAGTAGCTACCACGGCAGTTTTAGCGACGTGTTTACGATTTGACAACCCGAAGTAGTAGCGCATATGTACGCACGTTATGAATGATGTTCTAGCTTCGGTGTGAAGTCCCAAAACCTTGAGTGATTTGTCGGGGTAAACTGTTACTTTGTCCACTGGAATGACAATTGAATCCATATCATTGAGACTGCTGGATATTGAATTGAATGTATTTTTGCAAATTTATCCTGCAAAGAGGAATACAAGTTAGAAGTGCGATTTCTGTATCATCAGGGGACCTACTGCGCCTCCAAGAACAAGTACGACACATCTAACACCCGAATAATGTTCAGTCAGACTCCCCATGTTGATGGGTGCGGACATTCCATTCTAAACGTTGTCCATGCTCTTCTATGGCAACAACAGGATAGATGACAGAGAGGCTTCACTCAGGAATGAGGGAAAGCTTGACGGAAACATCGATGTCGGAGGGCGAGTATAGATGAATGACTGGTTTTTTACAGCGCAACTCATCATCACAGACTTCAAAATTGACGCAGTCACCATCCTTGACATGGTACGATCCGACCCACTAGGTTCCTGGCATCGTTACCTGATCCAAGCGCTGTTCGGAAACCCTACTTAAGACTGCCCTAACACCAATGGGATGATGTCCCAATTTCTGACTAGCGTCAGCAATAAAGCAGTCTGGATCTCGCCAGATGGAAAAACAAGTATGATTGTGACTTTGTCGTCATTCCTGCTATGTGGTCTCAACTTCAGTACTGGAAACACTTGTAGAATATTTTGGATGCGTACAAGCTGTCCTGTTCGTTAACCTGACTTAGCGCCGATTGATTGTCAGGCAATGAAATAGCCGAAGCATCAAGCGGCAGTGGGACGGGCAACGTCATTTCCGCGCGCCGAGTCACTTCAACGATATTAAGCAAGTCAATGACATCGAACCATATCTCAGCCGTGATATCCACGTAGTAGCCATCGCAAACATCGAGTTGACTGGTCTGAAATATGACCACATCTCTCGAAAATGTTTCGGAAATGTTTGCAGGCAGAGTCAAGCATGAGCTTATGATATCTAAATAGTTGTGCCACCCACATTATACGACTTTTGCCGTTTAACCATGACCCGTTTTTGACCATGTTTCGGGACAAGACCTTGCTAAATTCGTCTCTCCTCAGTCCGAGTCTTCATGTTTGAAGGTTTCAAGTAGAGGGTGACGGCGCTGTCTATGAGCTATGGCATGCTGGCACTTGATCCCTTAATAACAGCAGGCGGCTCGGTGGTTATGACATCCACCACATGATGCTATGTTGTTACGCGTTTGTTTGCTGTTGGTCTGTGGCGCACATGTGTGAGTATTGAGCAAATTACATAATTGTCATGCTACTCACTCCAAATAATCCTAGAGTGCTCAGAAAATGACATTCACTCAACCAAGACATTCACCGTCGACACACTCTGCATCATCTTGCATAGATGACAGTAAATCCGAAATGCCTGCTGCCCCAGGTGCAACAGACGACGATGACTTTGCCAAGCCACCCCTTGGACTCCCAACTCGGTTCCCTATACTCGTCTATGCTCCCTGCATCAACACCTGCCCGCCCGGACTCTATCATCCTCTCACACGAGGTAGCACCTTTGGCACCAAAGCCATGCGGACGGAGTCGTTCATCAAAAGCTTTCCTACTCCTTCCTCTCCCTGCCCCGCCTTCAACGACCGTCCCACCTGTTCTACAGCTCCCAGTCTCTGCCTATGAATCGCGGCCATCATTATGTGACATGTCTGAACAAGCACAACCACCATTACGAATGTATACTCTACAGATGCATACCATAGGCGATCATGATATGAAACAGTGTTTCCGTTCACATTGTGTTTATCTAGATCTTGTCGAACGTTTTCGGAAACAGTTAGAATCAGAAGTCGAAGTAGGGGGTTTCACGAGGGATCTAGGTGTGTTTTATCAGGCGCAGAAGTTTATAATCATATGATCTACCGGCTCATGTCCGTTATGGCGTTTCAGCAGGAGCGACAGTGCATCGTGGACTGATCTGTACGGAGATAATATTGTCCTCGCATGTCTTATCTAGCATCTACCAATCTCACAAAAATCACGACCACTCCACTTGACGATGCATCGATCAAATCTCCAAATTACTATAGTAACTCGCGCGTTAGCCATACTGCGCCAATGTGAAGGCAGAAACATGACCCACTACACAGAAATTCATTGACTGTCATGTAAGCGAGTCACGTTATCAAACCCAGAGAAATCATTGATACTCACGCAAATATTCCAAGTGCAGTCCTCGCAAGTTGCGTCAATCCGGCAAAAGAAGGGACATTCTGGGCACTATCTTAATGGGCGTCGCAGAGATTGATGATGCTAAAGTAGCAGTGACGGCAAGGACAATTGCAAAGGAGAAACGCATCGTGTGTGAGGATGTGATATGAGATGAAATAAACCTTAACGGTTAGAACGAAGGAACCTCACTTTTATATGCTGAATAACATTCTAGGAAGAACTCGTCCACCGTTGATACACTAGAATCCTATTAATAGCCCTATATTCGACCACATAATGTCCACAATGCCAGCAGAGTATCTTCTGGCAATTTGGTATGGATCCAGTGTTTGAAACGAAGACATCTCGATCCCAGAATATCCACCTCCAACCCCATCCGAACATCCAAACTCCATTTGCATCAGCACAGTCATCTTTTCCATGCACTAATCTAAACATGCATTTCCAGCGGCTCGGTGTGTGCAACCATCTTCATATAACGCCAAGGGATATTGATACATGTGGACAAGCTGGTACACTACTACATACTTGCCTCCCTACTGTTCCGCAGCCAATGATTGATCCACCCCCGACCTTCCTTTGCATCAGCCTGAGATGTCCACCCGATCTCACCTGCAGTTCCCCAAACGAGATGTGGCTCCTCCACGCAAGAACCGACTCTGACGCCCCCCGGTCATCTCTTGACTCGTTTTTAAGCAGCTCCCACTCCCCCTTTTCATCCTCAAGCTCGTCTGAAGAAAGCGCCGCGATCCCACCTTTCTCCCTCTCACGCCAAGACCTGAAACCCACCAATTTCGCAGTCGATGGAGCTATTCCACGATATTCCCGCTTGCTGCTGGTCCTCCATGCACAATTCTGAATTCGTTGCGTAGCGTGTTTGTGTCGAAATAGAAGTTGAAGTTGGGATTAGGATCAGGATCGGTGGCGCCTCTTCCACTTGCGATCATGTCTACACCCTCTTGTTCTTGTGCATCACCAACTCCACAAACGCGGACCAACACCCAGACCCAAACGCGCGTGCAGAGTCCGTACAACATGCCCGTAACACGAATGGTGTCCCCACAACGCCTCCCTACCCAGTGTACCCACGCCCAAATACATCCTCCGCCAGGACTCGCGCTTGTCGATGTCTTTTGGGTGGTCGTATAGTGGGAGTTGTCTGGGGGGTCGAGGAAGCCGATTCCTGTTGACACGTTTCCGAGGACTTGACGGGGGGTCGGGTTTCGATTTTCGTGCGTGCTGTCTTTGAGTTTTTTTGTGTTCTTGTTCTCACTTTTGTTGAATGTACGATGTCCCTTTGTTCTCGTTCACGACGACGACGGTTCGTATTGTCTTCAGTCTCTGATACGCTTGCTCTGACACACCTTTTCATTCCGTCACGTTTCTGCTACACTACTAATCACTCTCGACGCCAGGCAATAAACCAATTAGTAGTATTTTAAGTCACTTCTCAATCGACAGAAAGTTAAACCAACTTCCGACGGTGCATCGATCAGAACTACAAATCGCCAATAAGCGTCACAACGACCATACGACGTGAAAGCAGAAACACGACTCACCAAGTCTATAAAGCAGCTGTTATCGAGCTGCCATGCAGGTGAGTCATGTTATCCAATCCAGGAAAACTATTGATACTTGCGCATCGATCCGAGAAGACGCAGTTTGAGCAATCTTCATCAGTGAAGCAAGATGTGGGACATCCATCGGCGCCTACCGCGTTTTGAGCGGGCATGGCAGAGATCGATGATGTTAAAGCAGTAATGACGGCGAGGACAATTGCAGAGGAGAAACGCATTGTGACTGGTGTGATACGGGACCACATCATTCTGAAGATAGATGATTAGCTTCTATGTGCCGTTTGTTGAAATTCTTGCGTACGTGGTTAGAAGCAGTCAATCAAAGATTATTCGTTCCAAACTCTAACCTGGACGTCTCAGAGGATCTAGATTCAAATTGGCTTTCAAATGTAGATTTCCTAGTAGCTCTGTCACTGAAGACACATCACCTCCGAGTCTAGGAATAGGGTTTGTACATCACTGTTGCAAACCCAGCATCAAGGATGCCCGCCATGGACTTGCAATGGATGGACTTGGTAGCAGGTCACCTCGAACGAGATATGTGCGATGCGGTACGTCTGCATCCGGAGCGTCTCTGTCGTAGCTTCGTCAGCGCCTGCAGTTATCAAGACTCCCAACACAGCAACTCGCTTGAGTAATTCCTCGCGAGTCGTGGTATGCTTCATCCTCCAAAATCTCATGCTTGATTTGATGTTTTGGAAGAGTTAAACACAGTGTAAGTGTAAATTGGAAAATGTCACAGGAAATGCGAGCGAGTTGTAATCAATGGCTATAGGTGTGTTTTCAACTCTGTACTTTTTATCCTTTGATTTCCATATACGCACGTACGGTCAACTTATAACAATACAATCTACAGATTCTGCGCTTGCTATGACTCGGTGGCGCCTGGACAACCACAACTGCAACTACAACCACCTAGTCGCATAATTCAGAATCGAATCAAGGTGCTCGCAGCCCACAGTGGGTATGGTTATTTACTCGCAGCACTTTTCGCAGATGTACAGCACCCCCCTCTAAGGTGTTCGAAAAGATGGATCGTCGAACAATGCTGAAACGGTCTAAGTCGAAAGTCAGAGTTGGGAGCTGTATGGTCTGGGACCTAGGTATGTTTTTATTAGCTCCATCGTACGCATGTATACTCATAATCGTACGATCTACGGGCATTAATCATGCTACTATTTTTTGTGTTCTTCAAGTTACATGTCCTATCTACAGACACTTCCTAGTGGAGCGAAAATTTCACTGCCGACTCCAATATCTAGTAATTGGACCGATATTTGCTTGATGCGTGTTGATCAACTCGACCATTCACTAGTATGCGCGTCTTATACTGCATCGATGTGAAAGCAGAGATACGACTTACTATGCAGAGAAAAAATTCCTACCATGCAGGTAAGTCGTGTATCACATCCAGGAAAACTACTGATACTCACGCAAAGCCCGTAATGACAATTTGCGCATTCTCCCTCAGACCCGCAAAACCAAGGACAGTTGTCAGTGGACGTGGGAGAGACTGATGATGTCAAAGCAGCGACGACAGCGAGTACGATTACAGAAGAGAAACGCATTGTGTCTGAGGATGTGATATGGGATCAAATAAATCTGAGAGGTTAGTAGGAGGACAACTTGCTTTTATATACTGATTGACGTATTATGAAGAACTTATCCCCTGGAGTTCGCTTACTGCCTTCATGTCAAGCAAATGTCCAAGCTTTGCTGAAAATTTGGCGTGGTTATAGCACATTACGCCACATAAAATCTGTAATGCCGGCAGATTGCGAAAGGTCTTTTGGCAATCTGAAGACATATCGATCCCACATTCCACCCTCATCTGAACGTCCAAACCCCATTGAGCTCGCTGTATCCTACAGGTCCTTGCTGTGTGCAGCCACCTTGCATGCAACGTCAGGGAAGCATGAATGACTGCCGGCTTTGGATGTCGTGCTGTGTTCCTGCGCGTTCATAGTTCTTTCTCCTATTGACAGTTCTTTCCTCACTACTATGGCGACTTCTGCTTCATTTTACGGTGTCGTTGGTCTTCAAAATTGAAGCAGATATCAGAAATCTAGTATACTGACTTTCATTCAGGATATAGTAGATTGGACGAAGGTCCAGTTGATTCTAAAGATCGTGCGCTGTACTTAAGAGAACGATATACAGGACTTTTTGTCAAGAAAAACATTCAATGGAATAATCAAGCAAAATGGTTGTGGATTCAGCACTCGGAACGTTTGGCTGGCTTTTAGCGCTTTTCTGCATAAAACAGGATCGGAATTTGTGGTCCCTCCTACCAGCGCTCCACTGACAAATTGTGGCGATCAAATTAAACGACATTTCTGACCAATTGAAGATCGTATAGCAAAGCTCATTGATGCTCTCCCAAGTGGCTCTGTTGATTGCTGCAAGTCCGTCTCAGATAAATGCTGTGGTGTTTCGAACGAGATCTGTGTGAGGTGAATGAAGGTGAATGGAACTAGTATCGGACTTTCAGAATTATTAGCCATAAAGTATTTCTTTGCCTGTATCCTGTGATGTGGTCGCATATGGAGATGACTCTGGTTGGAAATGTGAGTGCTCAAGCAGTCCCGTACCTGTCAAAAGACCTTAAGTGCTGGCAACATGCTGGCATTGTAGATTTTTCGAGAGTACGTTCACGCAACAGGGATTCCAAAAAAGAACATAAAAGCCAGCCGGCTTCCTACGATCGCCTTCAGAACTTCCTGATCCCATATCACGAGTCACAAACAATGCGTTTCTCCTCTGCCCTCGCCGTCATTACTGCTCTAGCATCATCAACCTCTGCCATCCCCGTTACCGGTGATGAGGCTAGCGCCGATAAATGTCGCACGTTTTGCACTCATACCTCACAATGCCAGAGCGACGACTGCTATTACAATGCGTGCGTAAGTATCAGCATCTTCCTGGACTTGATAACATGACACACCTGCATACAGATACTCTTTACGTGCAACGTGAGTCGTGTTTTTGCTTTCATATCGGTGCAGTATGGCAGTTGACACTGACGGGCGAATTACTAGTGATTTACAGAGTTGGTCAATGCGCATAAGGAAATTACATGTCCACTTCATGCAGCTCTTCGCATATTGGAGTTGGCATGAAGTGTTCGTGAAATATAGGGAATGTTGGACTGAGATAAGACGTGCAAGGACACAATAATTATACTATCAGGGGGCGTGCACAGCGCGCCTCACTGTCAGTGTGATATAGACGGACTCAAAGATCAGATATAAGTATGTATGCGCATGATGGACCTAATAAAACACACCTAGGTCATGCATAATACCGTACAGCTCCCTACTCCAACTTTCAACCTTTCAACAACTTGAACACTCGAAAGGATCTAGGTAGGCATGCAATATGACCTGCTTCAAACCGTATCTTCCAATCACATTGTGACATCATGAATTCCTTGAATCAACCATTGATCCCTTGACAAAATCATACGATTGTCCCGGCTGACCAAGTACGTGACACGTGCAGAATCGCATTATGGTAGAGGCTCAGGGACCAGATGACTCGGAGTGAAAGGGCCCATTGACTAATAGGAAATAAATCAAATCAGTATGCCCAGCGCGATCCAAACGCACGGTACTCACAGAACCTTCGCCCGAATCCGCCAAGTCCCTGAAAATTGCTATGATTGCCATTGGTAGTGCGGCCTGTGAGTTTTTGAGTGGTTGGCATTGGATGCGATGCCGCAGTGACAAAGGCTAATTTTTCCGCCTTTGCACGCGCTTTTGCCGCCAGACGCTTTCTGTGAGGCTGTAGGCTCTTCTCGTAGGCACGGCGGGCTCTGGTGCGCACTGCTTGGCACTGGTTTCGATGCCTCGTCAAACGAATAGCATCAATATTATGAGTTCCATACGCATCACAATCGTATTCAATGGGTGCGCGGCGCTGAGGAGGCATGACGGTCGAAGTCAATGGCTTGGGTGAGTTGATGGCGCTGGTCACCTGCTGGAAGTAAATACAGAATGGTAGTCACGGTTGAAAGGCTTGATGAGATAACTTTCACTGCCACATCACCGAAATTACCAAATCCAGAGATGGTCATATATTACCATGTCGGAGCCACCATAACTGCCATATGTATCTGGCGCAAGTCTCAATGCAAGGCAATGTTAGGAAACTCAATTCGGACATTGCGACTGCCATATGACTATAGTCTGGCATTAGGCTAGTGTACCGATATATCAAACATTGCTATGTACATAATGCATTTGAATTTCACTCAGATTCATCAGACATTGCAATTGTGTTCGGATATAACAATGTGATGCATTGAATTAATGGTAGTACAGAGCAGTGAGGTACAATTGAGTGAACAGTTCCGAACCTAGTTCAGAACGCGTTCGATCTCTCGAACCGTAAAATCTTACAGTGAAAATAGCTACTAGAACTCTCACGACCATGGGTACCAGCTCGAGGCACTGGTGCTGCTCGTTTCATTTTGTGTCCAGCAGGTGGAGGAGACGTTGGAGGTTCACTCAAAGGAGAAGTTCGCGTTGAACAGGTGCCAGGAAGCTGCAAGGAGGTGCCGGCCCAGGAGAACCTAGTAGATTACATCAATATCAGTCATATATTCTGCAAGCCCGTCTCGAAAGACAAAGACGTACCGCTATGATAATGTGAGGTAAGCATCCATGACTATAACCAGTGGTTATTTTGAGAGCTCTAGTGCAAAGTCGAGTTAAAAGCAGAAATGGAAGTGATTGAACCACTGACCTTTGGTCGACGACGCAGACATCAATCACTCTTGCATTTGCCAGGGCCAGCGGCAATAATGACAATGAGAACGTCGACTTCAGAGTGGCGTATGAACGGAACAGGCATCGCAAATTTCGAAAGAGCTATGACTTAACAATGGGGAAAATGTAGATAAGTGTGTCAAACACTTCGAACACTAAGCAACATAAGACATCGACTGTGCGAAGCACAAAGATGGACAACTCACCTTTCTTTCTGACTGAATCTGACATATGATGTCTTATAAGCGTATGTTGGATTTGCAGAAGAGACTACAGTAGCAATGGTCAGACAAATTTAGATATAGTAGATAGTTTCGTACCTGATGTGCAGATGAGTCCGTGGAAGCTGTAAAATAGATATCGATGATGCAAGTAGACGATGCTGGATCTATCGGATGGATGAAATAAGTACATAACATATGCATATATGTGCATACACTCACCTAAGTCGGCCATCCAGATAGCATATAGTCATCGAAAAACACTGTGCTGTTGGTCAGGTTGAGGTGGCCTTCAGTATGAGTGATGGTGACAATTGCAGAGACATATCAAGTGATTGGACTTAGTGGTGTTGGTATTGGTATAGAATTAGAGGGAGGATAAGCAAAGATAGCACGTCAACATAGTTGATAGGAATTTGCCGGTGGGCTTTAAACAGTCATGTGATCGTATTTGCAAGTCATTTTGCCCTCACTTTCCCCGCTGCAGCGCTGAAGTTTGAACGTTTGTACTCTCCACGAGAATGAGATTGTGGCGGACGATGGCGAGGAACTTGATGATAAAATACTTATGGAGGAAGGTTCTGGCGCCCTTTAGGTACTTTACTTCAGTTTCACCCATTTTTCGTTGTATTACTCTATATAATACATTGGATGTATCTGGATATGTCTGATATCTGGCTGACAGCTACTCTACTGGATGACTTGTGTCTGACAGATGGTATGTTTGATGTCATTGTATCGCTACAATATTTCAAATGTCGGATATCACAGGTATATACAATTGGCGGCGTCAGAAAATTCGATATATCATGTGATCTCTGGATTCGGTAATTTTGGTGATGCATCAGTAAACCGATGAGTCCTTGATATTGTATCCGTGCGAATTGTAGAGGGGTAGAACTCTGCCGCTGCTAAATATTTTCATGTATACCATAAGAAATCTGATTTGCCGCTATATAGCCCGGAGATCTAGAGTAAGATGAGCAGTGCACAACAAGGTTATGATGTTCCTCCATTGCAGCTGACCAGGGTGATAAGCCTACTTACGCCAAATATTTTGGCCATTGTCATTTTGCCTTATTTCCGCTTTACACTACAACTTCATCCACGACATTCTCGTGGGAAGTACCTTTGGCACTTGTCAACTAATCTAGAATAGCACTAGATTTTGTAACAATGTCCTGACTTGTGGCCGTGAAGATTAACAAGGGATGACAGCGCACACCTCTCAACCTGTTTCGTGACTCTCCTTTTCCGCCGTCTATACATTGGATCAAACTACTATTTAACATCTTCCCATAGGAAGAGCCTTTTGCGTTTGTCAACTAATCTAGAATAGCACTACAATTCCTAACAAAATTGCGACCTGTCACCATCGCAGTATGTATTGTACTCCTGGCAGTGTTGATTGTTATTTTCCTCCATTATCAAGTGTTGATCTCGCGAGTCAGCGGCATCATGATGCACTTGAGACAATATGATGATTGGTTAGTTACACTCAGGCCACGATATACATTCAACTCGAAGTTGCGACTCGATATGGGCAATATCGGTCAATAGACTTAGACATTCAAGTACTGCTAGTAAGGCTGAGCTACAGGCTGAATGAGTCAGAAAGATAGGCCGTCACGGTCTTCCTCATACTCATATTCATACTCATTCCCGTTCTCGTTCTCGTCTTCACCGTCTTCCATCTCTCCGTCATTCTCCTGTGTGTCCATGTCTTCGTCTTCTTCTTCGCTGTCATAGCCTTCTTCCTCCCCTCCATCATCGCCCTTGGGTTGAATTTCACTCTCCAAGTTGTCATCGTCATTATCCTCCTCTGATTCCGGGGTATCTGCGAGCTCCACTTTGGCACAGTCTCTTGTGATCTCCCATAGGACGGTAGGATGTCCAATTCCATAGTGCGTGTATCGCATGAACATGTCTCGGTCGACGAATCTGAGTGATCATCAACAGTTGAGTAAGGACAACGAGATGAATTATTACACTTACATGCCAACATAGTATCCCTCCCAGTCGTCCAATTCACCAAATTGACGTCCGAAGGACTTTCCATAGCGAAGGGATGTAGTTCCGCGATTAGAAGAAAAAGCTGGAATCAAATGGGCACTTCGGATGACTTGACTGGGGTCGAGAAACCCAAATGCGTCGCGGTCAGACTCTTCGACGAAAGCGATCTTCGGAAGTCGAGCACAGCTCATCCCTGACGGGTGGTTGGTCAATGGCGCCAACCATCTGACATAAAGAAGCTCAATTTGATGCCTTTTGATCGGACCTTCGCTATTGAGCCACACATCCATGTGGTAGATGCCCAGAACGCAGGCATACCAGTATGGATGTCGGGGCCTTGTTTCCCCAGATAAAACCATAACATTGGGGTGTGTCCGAATATTGACGGTATCATACTCTCGCCAAAGATCATAAGTCGTGTAATGAACCTATCAATTAAAGTATTACAATGCTAGCAAAACTTGAGATCTGTGTGACATACCTGCATCGTTTGGACGGAGTATAGCCTATTGTCTGAGATGATAACTGAATTACGTTCATCGTCGGAGAAGGTATGGTCACAATAGGTGATGTCTAAGTTTCGAAGTCGGTATAGTACGTGGTCTTTGAGTTTCGGTATGAACGCCTGTATAATATCGTGAGTTAGGAGAACGGTGAGGAAAGTAACACATACTGCTACAGCTGGATCATTGTCATGATCTCGAAGAAAATGAAATATATCTATGGGATTGTTGCGGCTTAGCGTCGGTATATAGTGATGATCCTTCATGTTGATCCCTGCAGGCAAGTTGACTGGTTGCTGTTCCAAAGCACATGGACTATGTTCTGCTTCTGCCACTCGCCGAAGGATTCGTCGACGGCACTCGTGCTTAGCGAGTTCAGCCGGGGTATCTAATTTATTGGTCAAGGGATAGAATGCTTTCAGTGCTCGATGCGCTAACTCTCCCTGGACAGACATCAAAATGAGATGGGATGTTGTGTCAGACTCGGAGATGCA